AACAGAAAGTTCTTCTTCACAAAGCAAATAGTCAATCTGTGGAACTCCTTGCTGCAGAAGGCTGTGAAGGCTAGAACTAGAACAGAGTTTAAAGAGAAGTGAGATAAAGTGATGGAGGTTGGGTCCATGGAGTGGTATTAGCCAGGGGGTAGAAATGGTGTCCCTGGCCTCTGTTTGTGGAAGGCTGGAGATGGATGGCATGAGACAAATGGCTTAGTCATTGTCTTCGGTCCATCCCCTCCAGGGTCCCTAGTGTTGGCCTCTGTTGACAGATAGGCTACTGGGCTAGATGGACCTTTGGTCTGACCCAGTACGGCCATTCTAAGCTCAGGGTCGGGGGTCTCAGTGGACCACCTTGATTTTCATGCACACCTGCTCCTGGGTGGTCAGGCTGGCAGCTATCCTGCCCTAGACGGCCTCTTTCCTGTGCCTAGTGCGGAGGTTGTGGATGAGGTGCAGGGTCTGCTGGCTGGGTGCTGGCAGGCTTGCACCTGGCACGGGCACCGTAGCCAGCCCGTGCCCCTTTAAGGGGTCCGGGTCCGGGAGGGGGGCAGACGAGTTTCCCTGGTGGTGCCCAGAGTGGCCACCAGGGAAAGCTGGGGAGGGCTAGCCTCGCACTAGTTCGAATTAAGGGGCTACACAGCCCTTAATTTGAACTAGTTAATTCGAACTAGGCGTTAGTCCTCATAAAATAAGGTTTACCTAGTTCGAATTAAGCGCTCCGCTAGTTCAAATTAAGTTCGAACTAGCGGAGCGCTAGTGTAGCGCCTATCAAAGTTAATTCGAACTAACATCTGTTAGTTCGAATTAAAAAGTTAATTCGAACTAACGTCTGTTAGTTCGAATTAACTTTGTAGTGTAGACATACCCCCTGAGAGAACCTTTCTATTCACTTCATTCAGAACCGCATCAGCCCTTTTTGTCTAAATGTCCCTAATGAGCTGGTCAGAGTTTTCTGTCATTATATCTTATGATGAAAAATGGCTTTTCAGTTAAATCAAATCTTTTAAAATCTTCTAGTTTTGTCAACTGAAAATTATCATGTCACGAATAACAATTGCTCCAGAGTGGCGTCTCACTCTCTCCAGGCACAATGCATGCAATAGTATCCTCTGACCCACCTATCAGACTCCCTCTGGTGCAGAGGTGGGGAATCCCTGGCTTACCTGGATCCAGCCCACGAGGCTCAGAGCTATCCCAAGCACTGGGGAGGCTGCACTGATGCTCCAGCCCCCATTCTGTCCCACCACTGGATCTGAGCACACAAAATATTTTAGGCTGAGCCCCCCTAGACTCTGGAGTGCGAGGGGGAGACCGTGGGGAGGATCTTTCTCCTTCTCAGTCAGGAACCACGTCAGTGAGGATTTCGAGTTTTGGTTTTTGCTTCTTGTGTGTGGTCCCTGACTGATTTTTTTTCTGTGGGTCAGTGGCCCCCCAGCCCAAAAAAGTTTCCCCATCCCTGCTGTGGTGTCTAGACCCTTTTAGGTTTGTAGTGTCTTTAAAGGCTTTCTATTTACCATGGGCCATGCCTCCAGTAACCAGATATCTGGAGTCTCTGAGTTAGCTTGTGGGCAAGGACGCCATTTCGGGAAAGCAGGGTGGGCAGCAGTCTTGTGTACTGGGACACAGTTTGCTTTTCTTCCCGATCCCCTGACAATAAGGGGGTGAAGGGAAAATACATGGTTTCTGTGCATGCCTCTTACTCCTGGCTGCTGAAGGGAGAGGGCAGAGGAGTAATTCACAGAACCCAAATACTTTTCCTTCACTTCCTTGTTGTTGGGGGAATGGGAAGAAAAGCAAGCTGCATCCCAGTACACACGGCTGCTGCCCACCCTGATCTCCGGAAATGACCTTTCTTTCAGGGCCTAGCTATTTAGTCTGAGTCTTTTTGTCCAAGCCCCAGCTTTCATTTCATCCTGCCCTTCTTTTAGGACCTAATGCTCTGAGTGTTTCCTTCTCCTACAACCAAAGGTGAAAGTAGGCTGATGCACCCAGGTGCACTGGTAGAAAGGGGTTGGCAGGTGCTCCTCTGCAGGTAAAGGTGCGTGCTCTCAGCCAGGCTCCTGCCAGCTCCATGTTTAACTCCCAGTCAGTCATGCTGGCCCCGCACTGTCTGGAAGTTCCGTGCATGCCAAGAAAGAGGCTGGCTTGGGGCACTATAGGTGGAGGTGCATGCTCTCAGTCAGGCACCTGGTTGGATGCAGCACAGGCATGTGCTCTCCCTGTGGCAGGGGACCTATAGGGAGAAGGGGAAGAAAGCAGCAGGGAGTCTTCGCGTGACACTGCCATTGCCTATATGCAATAACCCCACAGCCAGGAATAGGAGCAGCGTGAGAAAGGAACTAGGTAACTGATTGCAACCATGACTGCCCCAGCTCCAAACATGCCTCTTGCATTCTGTCCTGTACACACGCCCCTGCACTGACTCTTGTACCCCCACAAACCCAACCCTCTGCCCTGAGATCCTCACACACCTCCAAGGGGGGGGGTTGCAATATGACAGTACCTGTAAGAAATTAAAATTACTTTCACCCCTGCCTACAGCCCATCTTTCTCTTCTAAACTCCCACTACCATAGACTACCATTTGCCTATCCTCCTCCCCTCTTTTCAGCCAAAGTATTTCCTATTCCTAATACCTCTCTTTCTGAACCAAACACTCCTCAAGTGAGTTACCAATTTTATGAACCCCTTCAGCTCATCCCCATGTGCGTTACCATTCATTGATTCTTTATTAGGCAAACTCCTTCAAATCTCCAGAAGGCAGACAAGGTCTTATAAAGGGGCCACGGCATCCTGTGACATAGTAGTACAGATTGCACCTTTGTAACCTGGAACTCCCTGGTCTGGCAACATCCAGAATCAGAGTCCCAGCGCCCTGCAAGGGGTGGAAGGACTGTGAGCCTGGTGCAATGCAGGGGTGCAGGAAGGGATGGCATGTGGCCCAGCTGAGCTGTTGGGGGGGAGGGCAGGAACTGGGAACCTGGGCACATGGCTCAGCTGGCCTGGGTGGGGGGCTGTAGTGGACTGTATCAAGCTGTAATGACAATAATCTATCCAAAGAGGATAGCACATGGAATTCTCTTTCCGTGTATGTTCTAGAAAGTATCTTCTTTAAAAATCACATATTTGATATTTTGAGAGCTTTTGTAACTAAAGTGTTTTTTCCTCCTCTGTTCAGGTTGTTGGGTTTGATGCCTCCACCACGGTGGAAGAATTTCTGAACACCCTTAATCAGGACACAGGAATGAGAAAACCAGTCCAGTCAGGATTTGCATTATTTACTGACGATCCTTCTGGCAAGGATATAGAACACTGTCTTCATGGGAACATCAAGGTAAACTAAACTCTTTAATGAGCTGTACATCTTAAACAACAGAAATATCTGAATTTTACAGAGGCCTTTCCAAACAAACAATTCAAGGGAAAATTGTTTACTTATTACATGTTTTTTTGCTTTTTCTCATTTGACAAACATCAAAGGAAAAGATGAAAACAAACTAATTTTGCACTCACTGAAATTTATTCAGTGAAATATATTTAAAAAAATTTCCTGGCAAACTAGAATGGCTTAGGCAGTTGAAATGGAATAAAGAACTTTTCATCCCAGAATACCAGTTTACATGAGAACTGTTATTACAGACTAAAAGTGATTAGAGTCTAATGCTCATTCAGTGGCTTTATTTGGTGTTCTCAGTCCAACTCCTGTGGCTGAATACCCAGTAATACTGAAGAGCTTTCAGAGCTGAAAAGGTGAAGTAGATCAGAGTAGCTGGTGGCCTTAGCTGGTGGCTGCTCTCTGGAGGAGGCTACAGCAGGTGCCACTCCAATCCAGCGCTGTGGCTGAGGGCAAAAGGGGAGGTGTTAGCATCAGGCTTTGGGGTAAGAGGACCATTTACCCGGGCCGGTGGCCTTCAACATGAGGAACTGCATCCTGTCCTCCATGGCTGTAAGAAGGGTTATTATGATGCAACAGGAGGTAAATAGGGCCAGGAAGAATTCTTCTTCCCTACCAGAAAAATGACATGGATGGCAAAAAGAAAAAAGGCTATTAAATTCAATTTACTTATTTTCATATTCTGCTTTCTGTTAATGTGAGATTTTTTTGTCTCCCTTTGGTTTCTTTTAACATTTTGGTTGAGTCTTTCCATGAAGGTAATTAAATAGTCTCTTCCCATCTGTTCTGCATGGGTACCATTGAAACACATTCTGCCTCTGATCTGGGAAGAAGGGACCAAGTGAGTCTCCAATTTCACAACACCCTGCTTAGAAAAAGAACCATCACATCATGCAGTACAGATGTTCAATGATTCTCTTTGTAAAAGTCACTAGTTTGATTAGTTATATAACAAATAGTTTTGGATAAAGAAAGGCTAAATTATATACCTTTCCTTTCTGTATAAGCATTTTATGGGTAGATTCCAAACCCAAGTTCTGTCTTGTAGGACAAGTGAGTAACAACAACAAAATCTAATTACTAAATCTTCAGCTAAAAAAGTCCCTGGACAGGTAGTTTTCACAAGTTTAAAAATTAAAGCTACATGATTCTTTCATAATAAACAGATGGTTTCCTTCAAAGGTGCTGTTTTGGCAAGAAACTACAGAAATGACAGTTCCACATATTCATTTTCCTTTTAGATCTGTGACATTATTTCTAAATGGGAGCAGGCCTCCAAAGAACAGCATCCTGGGAAATGTGAAGGCACAAGAACTGTGCGCCTTACATATAAAAACAGGTATATAATACTGAGTATAATTCCCCTGCTGTATCCTTGGAATTTTCTTTAATTTTTATGGTGTTTTTTTTATCTAGAAATGTATCAACTGAATCCAAAACTTTATTAAAAAATGTGAAAACATTAATTTGTTAAATAAATAAATTTTCTCTACTAGTATCAATATTTTGAAAACCTTCATCTAATCCTTAGATGTTTGTTTTTCTTACAAGTTAGCAGATTTGAAATTACAGAGTCAGTTATCCTAGTTTGTTTTCTTAATTCAGTCAGTCAGCTGGTTAATTGGACACCCGTTTCCATGACCCTGCTTAGAGGATGTGGCTCCTTCCCACATCCTCCACCAGGCCATTTTTGCACCTTGCAAGATCCCATTTGTTGAGGTTTAGCTGGTCTTATTGGCTTTTGTGTAGGTTCCGGCTGTGCAAGTTTAAAATAAGGCTCAGTGAGCATGCAAATCCAATGTGGATGGAATTTTCAACACATATCATGAACCTAACAAGAGGAGAGAGAGGCTACCAATTAATGTGATCTCTAAAAATAGTCCCTGCCATTATGTAACCCCAGCCAATACAGAGGGGTCATATCCTACTGGCTTAGAGAGATTTGCTGCTCTGTCCTCAAGTGGGAGCTGTTGTTGTTGCTAAGGGAGAAGTGCCTTTCCCCCTACCAGGCAGCCTTGTGCACAGGTTCTGAGCCCCTGGCTAGCAGGGCTCATAAAGCAGGTACGGGGCTTAGAGGGAACACTGCCTGTGGTCGCTCGTGCAGGCGCCATAACAGCACGAGCATGGAGCCCACTTTGCAGCCAGCCATCGTGATGGTGATGTGTGCTGTGGTGTCCTAATGGTTCACTACTTGGAGAGTAGCGCTTCCAACAAGAGGACAAGGCCGAAGCTCAGTGTGGCATGGAGACATTTCTCATGCAAGACTTGGCGCTGATGCAAGTGCAGCTGCTATTCAATCCTCTGGACACAGTGGAACACTGGTTCTGGCATTGTGAGACAATCTCAGACTGATGGTACTGCATTGTGAATGGCTTTCCCCTGCCTTAGGGCACTAGAATACCTGCATGAGACCCACTCTGACCATGGAGAAGAGCGTGGCAGTTGCCTTGTGGAAGCTTGCAATATGGCAATCCCACCACATAGGCGCAGAGCGCGTCATACATCACACTCATTGCCTTAACCTGCTCGTAGTTAGAAAAAGTTTGTGAACTCACCCGAAGTGCCTTCCCTGGGGTTGGTGCTCAACTGGGAGATATCCTGGGAGGAGGGGACCAGCTCCTGGCTCTCAGGCATTGCCAACTGGCTAGTCTCCTCCTCTTCCTCCTTCCCTTTCTCCTGTCCTCCGCCACCATGTTGTCCTCCATGCTGATGCCAGGTGTATGTTGGCCTGACTCCACGACCGCTCTGGGGAAGCTGGCCAGGCGCTACCCCCAGTGGCGTCCAGCTACTCGTAGTAGAGCCACATGTGAGGTTCTGCACCAGACCGTCCACTTGCCTCCTTCGCCTTGTGGTAGGACTGCCTAAGCTCCTTGATTTTGACTCAGAATGGCTGGGCATCCCTGGAACAGCCTTTAGCCGCCAGGTGCTTGCGATCTTGCCATAAATGTTGGCGTTCCTTTTGTTAGTTTTGAGTTTGGAGAGGATGGCTTCATTTCCCTGCACCTCAATGAGTTCCAGGATCTCCTGAACACTCTACACTGGCACTCTTCTGTGCCCCTGGGAACTGGAGTACATGGGAGCAGAAGTATTTGAAGTTGTCTCATTGTTGGTCAGATTGTTCAAGGTCATCTCCACATGTGGCGTGGTGTGCTGCTCATCCTTAATGTGTTCACAATGCTGGCCACATGGGAAAGGCCAATCAACTTTTCCTTTGGCGTTTTGTGCTCACCAGGGAGAGAAGTAGAGGTGCAAGTTCTGGCCAGAGGCAATCAGGGCAGGAAACTGCTGGAGGCCTCCTGGAGGCCCATAGCCTTGACTTCCCTGTAACACTGCATTTACACGACCATAAATTTGACCATGTAAGATCAGAAATAGCATTATTCCTCATGGAAAAACAGGATTACTTAAATCGACTTCCACAGCCCTTAAGGTAGACACGACAGGCTTGGTAATGGAGATGCATCTCTTAGAAAATCGTCCATATGCAGCTAAAGTCAGTGTAAAGTTCTAGAGTACACCAGGCCAATAAGCAACAGCCACTGGTCGACATTTCATAGTTTAGTACAGGTTGAATCTCTCTAGTCTGGCACTCTCTGGTCTGGCAACATCCATGGTCCAGCATGATTTTATTTAGCCAGTTGTCCACTTATCATTGGTGTGGCCAACTTTCCCGCTGTCCCATACATTTTGTTTGCAGCCACCGGTCCTGGCTTTTAGTGTTCTGTGCTGTTATTTAGCTCTAATTACCCCATATATATCCAAGAGCCCAGTAAGCAGTAGAATTGTTGGTAATGCTGCCAAACAACATTGACCTCCTGAGTTCTTGTAAATTGTCTGGTTTGGCACTGGTCATGTCCCAAAAGTGCTGGCTAAGAGAGCTCAAACTGTGGTAAAAAGGAGGGCACATGGTAATTTCCATCAGAAGTTGTTTTCTTTTACTCTGTTTAGTTTAGAAAACTGTAATGTCCAATTGCGTCTCTAATCAACATCCAGTAAAATTGAATTAATTATGTTATGTATCAGAATTTAATTTTTAAATTTGTGGGTGAAAGATATTGAGAAGCAATTTTTTATCTTTATCTGCAACATTCTTTTGCTCAGTCCTTGGTCTCTGCTGAGCATCAGTTGCTAATTGTGCTAAATTTTGCTGGAACTTGAGTTTTGTATACACAGAAACTAGGCTGAGACCCTAAATCTACAGAGATGGAAAAACTACGGTACTAATTTGTACTATTACATACCATTGGAAGATTTATATTTTTTTAATTGTCAAGTGGCTTTGAACTTCATGAAAGCAATATCCAAATCACTGCTTAATTGGGAAAACATTAAACTTTATTCATGTAGATTAAAAAAGCAACAGATATTTTGGTGGGCATTTATATCTTAAAATATTTTGAAATTGGCATTTTAATCCCATTCATATTTAAATGTTTTAGTTTTGATTTTGTATCATTCTTTTAAAAATAAGATATACATGTGCAATGGTACTGTTTTTTAAATGTAAAACTAAGGATATATGTTAAGTGATCAGTTTACAGAGTAGCTAGTCTTCTACTTTCATTATAGATTTCCAAGATACAGTAAACTTCCGATAATCTGGCAGCTTTAGGACCCAGGGGGTGCCGGATTATCAGATATGCCGGACTATCAGAAGGGGGGGCTATGAGGGGTCTGGAGTGGGGTGGGAGGGGATGTCACCCCAGGCCCCTCATAGCCCCCCCCTTACGATAGTCTGGCTCTGCCCCAGGCGTCCCTGATTCAGCCGCTGCTGGTCAGTTTCCGCAGCAGCTGAATCCGGGAGT